AAAATAGATACTTCCAATAAAATCAATGTCATTACATTGAATCTCTTATATATATATATATATATATATATATATATATATATATATATATATATACATACATATATAATTTTATTGTTACTCCATTAGTATTGAGTTTTTGAATCTTATTTCGCTAACGTTTGAAGTATGCCTTGTTCAAAAGAAAGTACTCTTAGATTTTGATGATGTTTTACGTTACTACTGACCTGTTTTTTTTCAAAATTTGTGATGGATATGGGCTCACCAGTTATGTGATGTGCTCAGTATCCGATATATTCCTAAATTTTGTGTAACTGCTCGTCTTGATAACCAACGGTTTATAAATCAGTCACGTTTATTATCGTATCACACACACAGAGATTACAAAACCACCGGCATGCGAAGCGAAATTGAAAATGTTATGAGAGTGTCGTTACCGGTCGTTACTACTCACTTCAGATTGATGATAACTTGAACTAATATTTTAAACTGATAGTTTGTCTAACTTTTACAATTTTGTTTTTACACATCAAAACATCATTCTCATTCAATGTTCAATTTTACAGGGATTTGTTTTACTGAATTTCATTATCTTATCATTCATATATTGAATTCATTTATAGGTGTGTGTTTACTAGTCAGCTTTTTTACTTGATAACATGAAGCGTTGTGTTTTAGTGTTTTGTTTTGTCTTATGTTCAATTGATTTATGGCTTACTTACTTTACTTACGCCTGTCACCCCCAATGGAGCATAGGCCGCCCACCAGTTTCCTCCAACCAACTCTGTCTGTCCTGGGCTTCCCTCTCCAATTCTGTCCAATGTTTGTTCATTCTTTCCATATATTTCTCTATTTCTCGGCGTAATGTGTTGCTTCTTAGCCTTCCTCTTTTCATTTTGCTCTGAGGGTTCCATGTGATGAGGGCTTGTCTTGTGACGCAGTTAGGTGCTTTTCGTAGTGTGTGTCTTATCCACCAACTCCAACGCTTCTTCCTGATAATTCATTTATTGCGCTTAACAATAAATAAACAATTGATCATTTATTTGATTGTTTGATTGTTTGTTTGCATTTTTACTTTTTGTCAACTTATCAATGACATGTTATTTTATTCTATGGATGTTATTTATGCTCAAGTTGATAATGATTTCATTAAATGTTGTTCAATTAGAAATAAATACACTTACTGACAAGTGTATGCTAGTTTCTTACACACACACACACTACACAGACACATACATCTATACCTAATCCTAACCAATACACCCATTTCTACTGTGTGCACGTACACACACACACACAAGTACATTTGTAATTTACAATGTTTGACATGTTATTTCAACTATACAGATATATATATATATATATATATATATATATATATATATATATATATATCATATGGAAACCAATATACACAGAGAAAGAGCACCCAATGTACTCATACTACTTAATATTCGACAAACTCATACAGTAGTAGTACTATATGTATGATAATTAATGCCTTGATATAATCAAACTTTCTCAAGGTTTGATTTTCTTTGGCATTGTAGTAAACTGATAGTTTATCTTTTTCTTGCTGTGATTAGTTTATGAAGAAAAAAAATTCTAGATTCTGTTCTAATAAAAAAATTGTTTTAAACTGATTTTGAGTTGTCGATGGATACAGAAAGCTCGATTTGCTTTTTAGCCAATTTACGTCGTTTATGGCGTAGGCAAGAGATATCCGTTCGTTGACCAAAGGACAAGTGTACTGAGCGGCAGTTTGCTTCATTTCTCCTATATGGATGCGAAACATGGCTGTTAAGAGTAGAAGATGTACGTAGGTTACTAGTATTCGATCATAGATGTTTTAGAAGCATTGCTCGTGTATCCTGGGACAATTGATTAAGCAGTGCTGTCGTTAGGAAACGAGTACTAGGTAAGGATGGCAGATCAATAGATGAAGTGGTGAAACTTCATCAGTCGAGATAGTTGGGAGATGTGTTACGACTGGGCAACCACCGACTGGTTCGACGAGCTATGTTTTGTGGTATCGGAGTAGGTTGGAAGAAAGTTAGAGGCGGCCAGACCAAAAGATGGAAGAAATCCATGAAGTCACTGACAAATGGACTGAGTCATGTTGGTAGATGTAGACTACCTGGTTGGGGACCGCGAGACGAAAGTCACGGATGGTTAGAAACCTTGAACGACATGGCTGAGAATCGTTTGGAATGGCGCAAGTGCATCCATTCGTTGTGCTCTCTCAAATCCTTATCTCCTGGATTCGTCAGCACATCTACCTTTGTCTTTCTAACCTTATCTCACTGAATTATATTTCTTGAATAATATCTTCAAACCCTATTCTTCGTCATTACCATTAATACCTCTACTGTCTCTACTATCACTATGGGATTTGATTTGACATTTGCATCTCTGTGTTAATGTGGTATGGCAACCTGAACTTATGTACTTGCGTACGTACGAAGTTCTACGTTGCAACTGACTGACTGACTGAGAGTTGTCACTTGACGATCTACTGGTCAGATTGGTTACGTTTAACCAATGAATCAATCGGGTTCAACAGTGCTTTCAATCTGTTGTTCATCACTGAATAACTAGACTTTTTCAGGTAAAAGAAGGAACCAGAACACTTAGATGACAGCAATTAGCAATTTTTTTCTGTAAAATTTAGAATACACCAATCATGAATCAGTCATTGTTAGATCACTAATAAAAACTTGGAAGCACTGAAAGACAGCCGTTTGGTCCTGGTATAAGACTCATCGGCAGCGCGCATCCATGACTTCGGATACTTGCAGGATTTGAACCCAGGACTTTCGGTCTTGCGCGTGAACGCCTCACTAATCAATCTTTCGTTGTATCATGGCTTCAGGTAAAAGGTGTTGATATCATTTGCTTTCAATGACAAGCTAGTTAAATAGCTCCAGTTATTTATCGCTCTCTTAAATATAATATAACTAAACAGAGAAAGTAAGAAAATCACAAAATGAATTCAGGGTATTATATAATTAAACTTGTTTGTAAAATTTGTAAATGTTATGTCCTAACTTAGATCAATACGCATAGAGAGATGACCTTTTAGCGATCAATACACAGCATGAACACCTGACAGTTTGCCTTCATTCTAACTAGCCTCGAAATGCAGTGGAAGAAGCTAGATAAGAGTGTAAATAATGAACTCGCATTGAAATCAGAATAGGAAATTGTATCATAATAGTATCATAATATCATAATATGTTTGAAAAAAAAAACATGGCAGAAATCCATGAAGTCACTGACAATTGGACTGAGTCATGTTGGTAGATGTAGACTACCTGGTTGTGGTTCAACGAGACGAAAGTCACCGATGATTAGACACCTTGAACGACATGGCTTAGATTCGTTTGCAATGACTCAGGTTCATCCACTCTTTGTGTTCTTTTTAAATTTTAGTCTTCTGAATTCCTCATTACCTCTGTCTTTCTCTTTCTAACCTTATCTCACTGAATTCTACTTCTCGAATCATATCTTCCCTATTATCGCTTATATTTCTACTATCTCTACCACTATTAGATTTGAACTGACCATTGCGTCTGTATGAGGATGTGGTATAGTAACATGAACTTATGTTCGTACGTAGGTACGTACGTACGTACGAAGTCCTATGTTATGACAGACAGGTCTGTTTCATTAATCGGAAGTAAGTCATTAATAGCTTTAACGAATTCGATTAATATTCAGACTTGTTGACTGAAATTGTTTGTTTTCTCCTTAGAATACTGAATTTTTGGTGAATAGAAACGATGTAAATTATAGAATAGGAATTATTATTTCATTTTTTATTAGTTGTTGAAATCTTCTTATTGATATTTAAGAGGAGTGTAATTGATCAGTTGCTTTTTGACAGAGATAAATGGTATGACTCCGTATTTCGTCCTAATAAGAAGGGCTTATCAGCCGGATATACCTGCATCTTACAATTGATTGTATTTAAAAAAAATAGTACTAGATCGCAACATGCATCGATCGCCCGGGATTCCAGAGTTCTAGCTAATGAAGCCTGTTGCTCTATTTGGTGTAGGGTCTTATATGCAATTTAGTTCGGGATTTCAAGAGACCAGGAATAATGTTTCGTGAACTGATACTCTTTGCTTCAGTGGCGTGAGGTGATAAACGATCGAAAGAAGGGTTCGTCGAGGCGATAAGAGAGTTATTAAGAGGTGTAGAAAGAATTTGATTGTGGCCAATTTGGTCTCATGTGCTTCTATGGGTATGATGGTGATGGAGAACACAGGTGAGGGCAATCGAATTGTATTTATCGAAAATTACACAGAGTTAATTGGTAAAATACGAAAAACCATATCGTAAATCGTTAATTTGCAAAATACATCAGTTCATCATATCGAATTGGACTGTTCCTGTTGCAAAACATCAATCCATTGTCACTATTCATGCTATTTCACACAAATTCCATTGTTTTCTTCTAACTCTTCCTTTCTTGATCTTCCCCCATCTTCTGCTGCCAGACATTACGTTTACACTCACGTCATATACTACTTATAAGTAGCTCACACCACACTACTACTACTACTATCCGTCTTTTTTTTGTCGTTAACACGAAATTATTATACAGCCAAATCGATCGATCGATCGATCATCCAGTCTAAACACAATAATCAAACTCATTTTATAACAACAATCTCTTCTATCCTATCGGCGTTGTTGTTTATCCTTCTCCCTCGCCCTCCCCCTAAAAAAAAATAATAAGTCTATTCCAATTATTCGCATAGAATGAATTTCATTATGAAAATTGTTAATTTTTTTTGTTTCCTCTGTAAAGAAAAGACATTTTGTCATATTCACTCACCTCTCTAATCAATAAATAGATTACCTTGTTGTGTTGATGATGGTAGTGTATGCCTTCCTGTACATTAAAATGAAAATTTTTTTTTTATCTCCTACTACATTTCTCAGTAGTGAAAGAAATAGAAATTTACCTAGTTTTCATGTACACTACTCTCATGCACAGGGTTGGTTGGTATGTACGTGTATGGATAGGTATGTGTGTGTATGGGTGTGTGTGTTAATGTGTTGTATTCCTGTCAGTTTATGGTGTTAAGCTTGCCAACATCTCACGGTTCTCTATGCAAAAAACAATCTCTCTCTCTCTATATATATATGTTCTCATCAGTAATTCTATTTGCTAAATGTTTCAATAATATTGAAATTCTTTTTCAACTTACACTTTCCTCATTCATCGGGTTTTTTCTCAATTTTTTCTGAACTGATGAATCTTCCCCACTTCATCTATTGATCTGCCATCTTTACCTAGTACTCGTTTCGTAACGACAGCATTGCTTACTCGATTGTCCCACGATATACGTTTTTATGCGTAAGCGATAAAATAAATTTATATTAACTTTTCCTATGCAACCAGAATTGGCTTCACTTTACAACTTGTTCGCTCGCTCACTTTCTATTTTTTTTGGTTTGATAAACTTTGGTACACTCTTAATCATGGTAAAAAAAAGATATTCACATGCATGTATGAATTGTTTGTCAATAGTGTTTCTCACATGAAACATTGATTCTATGCTCTAAATCAATTTGTAGTGCCTCCACATACATTCGAGTTAGCTTACATTCTAACTTGGTTAAGCCCTTTCGATTAATCTATTTAACCAAGCCACTTGTGTATTGCAACAATTTATATGTACCCATTCGTTCTTATTATTGTCTGGTTTGTATGAGCTCACATGACATGTTCCACTTGTCATTTGACCTTGTCAACCATTCATCGTTTTTATTCATGTGTGCCTATTTCGCTTGTTGCATGTCTATCTTATTCTTGTCTGACTATATATTCTTAGTCATGCTTTATCTCTTTGAGTTGGCTCATTAGACTTCTCGAGCGCGTTTCGCCTGTTCATTCGCTTCCTTCGCCCATTCGTTCGCATTGTAATCCTGGGTTGACTCATCAGCCTTCTCCAATTCACGTCGCTTCATCCCTTCTATTCACTGCTTCTCCACTTCGCTTTGTGGTGTGTCCCAAATAAACGTATTCAACACTACAAGTTCACCTTCTGATTTATAAACCGTCAGACGCTAGTTAGTAACGATTGTCTAGACGAACTAATTACCGATCTTAAGAGCACGCCGTAAATCGACACACTACAAATGGTAAACCCGACGTCGAAATGGGGTCACCACAGGCCACCTCAAACAGTGAGCCCGTCGTTCATTCATATCATCCCCTAATTCGCTCGCTCGATTCATTCACTTCATTACATTCGTCGATTCATTCGTCCATACGTCTTCACAGAAGATCAGTAAACACTCATTACATAATTCGACGATTCCGACGACAAATCAAATATACCCAACCAGTTGGTAATCTCGAGGACAAATCGAACAGAACCACTAACTGGAAATCCTAACGCCGTACATCGACAAAGCAGATCAGGAACTTAATGAATTCGCTGAACGAATCAACGAACCAGACTCGACATACAACACAGCCAACGCACTCATCAAACGAAAGTAGCAAAACCATTTCAGCGGTTATATACATATATACAAAAATCGTATTATCTTATTATCATTTCCATTACGCATCAACTTGTTGCATGAATCTACTTCTCAAATTATTCTTGATGGAAAAATTCTTTCATTTTTCCTGAATTAAATGATTCCCTGTTGGGGATGTTAGATCCCCAGAACTCGCTTGATAAATGCCTTAATTTGGATTTCACGTTTGCCAGCATGGACTGATCAGTTGACCTTGAGATTTCATTTCCCATCAGGAAAATCCATGGCTGTGATTGGTTCTGCTGTGTATTTTAGTGTGATATTTTCGTAACTGTCCCAAGGACGTTTCTATGATGTATAAATAAACGAGAGTTTTATGCTTGATTGTATTGTGTTGTGATTGCTGTTTGTTTGTAGAATGTACTTTCTACGCTTACAAAGCCTTTTATCTTCAGCTTCGGATTCAAGGTAGCCTACCTGGACGCTAGGTCATTGTCTCGTTCGTGTTTTATCGACTAAGGTGAATTCGTAATAGCTTCAAGCGTAGTTAGTGACAAACCCTACATTTTCATAAATTAAAATTTATTCTCATAAAATAAATACAAACTCTTGTCCTATTTCGTTTGTTGTCTTGTTCAATTTTCAATTATTTAATTAATTTATTTTAAATATAAAATGTGAAAAATTAATTAGTGAATTAATTTTTTATCTAACCTTTTAAATATCTTGATTTCATTTGAAGTGGTATTTCATACCGTAAATTGTTTTTCAACCAAATATGTCGGTATGCATTTGGATTACGCAATTGTTTATATATTCGCGTTACATAAACGTCATCATCATGATCATCATTTCAGAAATACTTTTTTCTTCTAATGTTTATATTTTGACGATTATTTTTAATTGACTTTTTTTTAAGTACTTACTTAATTATCTAATCACTTTGGCCTGTTACCGCTTATCTAGCATATAGACCTGCTGCCGACTAGCTTTCCCTAAACAACTCTATCATGGGCCTTCGTTTTCAGTTTTACGCAATTGCTGTTTTTTTGTTTTTTAACGTCTACTTCTGATTCTCAGCGTCATGTTTTCTCCGGTCTTTCCCTTTCTTCTCTGGCTTCAAGGATTCTTAGTAAGAGCTTTCTTTGTGGCGCAGTTGACTGCTTTTCTCAATGTGTTCACTTCCTGTTCACTTCCACCGTTTTTCCTAATTTCTTCCTCGTTTGGATTGTGGTTTGTTCTCTCTCATAGTCTGGTTGTTGTTGCTGTTGTTGATGATTTCTGACCAACGGTTGCTCAATATCTTGTGTAAACAACTGTTAATAATCACTTGTATCTTTCAAATGATAGCTTTCACAGTTCTCCAACTTTCTGCTATATATACACAGTAGGGTAGTTTTGATGTTTGTAACGAAAATTCTTTAAAAATATACACCAATCTTAAAGAATAATTCTGTTTATTTTTTGCAAAATTTTTTAAATCCAAATTACTAAAAGTATTATTATGGTTTAATTTTTTTGAAAAAGCCGTGGAAGGTTGTTTCTTGAGGGACCTGAAAAGGAAGGCAGATTAGTGTGCTGGTCTTGGAGACCTGGGAGAGTGACCGCAGAGCCCAACGGACAACAACTTGAGGCAGGTCACGCACGGCCTTTTTATGTGAAGTTTTCTGAGTGTCAGCTACGCTCTTGAAGGCCCTTAGTGGGAACCCTTACCCAAGGAGACGGAAATCCGTGAGGTAGGGTGAGGTGTGACATTTTTAGGGTCGACCTTTTCTAATCCTTCCTTCCTTGTGAGAAGGCAACATCGCTGCAGATGCTGGTTATCCGAGGGAAACATCTTACTGCCATCACACCCCTCTGCAGTCAGCAGTATGACTTCGCCCTCAGATCATGGGTAGCTGCTTTTAGTCTGATCGTTCTCCAATCGACCTGCCTGGTATGGTAGAACCTTCAGAAACATCTGTTCCAGCCAATATATCTCTTTTGGGTCATCACGATAGGCAAGCCTGACCACCACGTCAAGGTAGCCGCTACGGTCAAGTATCTTTGTTTATCAATTGAATAAAACAAAACTAAATAGCAAATCATATTCTACATCGTCCCAATGTGTTTACACATTGTTCAATAGTCGGTAATAATCAAAAATTTTGACATTGATCACTAAACGCGCATGGGTTAAATTAGATTTTTTTCTTCTTTTCTGGCTTGATCTTGGCCGTTAAGAGTAGAGGACTTCCGTAGGTTAGTAGTCTTCGATCATCGATGTCTCCGAAGCATTGCTCGTGTATTGCGGGACAACCGAGTAAGCAATGCTATCGTTAGGAAACCAGTTCTAGGTAGCGATGGCGAATCAATAGATGAAGTAGGAAAACTTCATCAGTTGAGGTGGTTGGGACATGTGTTAAGAATGCCTAACCACCGACTGCTGCGACGAGCTATGTTTTGTGGTGTAGGAGTAGATTGCAAGAAAGTTAGGGGCGGCCAAACCAAAACATGATACAAATCCATGAAGTCACTAACAAGTGGACTGAGTGATGTTGTTGGATGTAGGCTATCTGGTTAGGGTCCGCGAGACCTTGAACGACATGGCTGAGAATCGTTTGCAATGGCGCAGGTGCATCCACTCTTTGTGTTCTATGAAAGTCTAGCCTTTTGAATTCATCATAATCTCTACCTTTCTCCTTCTAAGTTTATCTTACTGAATTATACTTCTTGAATCATATCTTCGCTCCCTAATCTTCTCCATTACTGCTAATACTTCTATTATAGCTATCACTATTGTATTTGAACTGATAGTTGCGTCTCTGTGCTGATGTGGTATGGCAACCTGAACTGATGTACGTGAGTACGTACGAAGTTCTGAGTTGAATCTTTCTCTCTATCTTTCTGGCTTGATGTTCTGTGAGAAAAAAAGGTCACTTCTATAAATGAAATTAAGTTGCAATCTTAATGTTAAAACAGACTGAAAGATTCTTTTTCCTTTTTTCTGATTTGCCTTTTATTTTATTTAGCCGAATCACTTGTTCGCCCGGCTCGTATTGATCGTACAGCGAGTCCACCATCATCAGCCAGTATGTATTGGTCAGAAGCAAGAAGATTAGCATCATTTCCAAATGCTCGTTTACCTGATTCAAATAGTTTACCAGCTATCGATAGATATGATTTTCCTGCACCACCTTCACCAGCTGTTGTAATGATTGATAAACGTAAGTGAAGTGAAGTAAATTAAATTGTTTTGATATAATGAACATGCGCGCGTTATGGGGGTTGTGAAGGTTTTGTATGGGTGGATAAGATATACGAGCATTATAAAGCTGGAAGTATTGGATTACCGTTTCATTTTGGTATGGAACTGATCGGCAACGCATATCCTCGACTATCGCTACTCATAGTAGTCGAAATCAGGACCTTCGGTCGTCTATTGCTTTTATGGTTTTGTAGTCTGTCGATTTTCTGCTCTGTAATTAGCTCGTCTAAACAATTAGTTACTAACTAGCGTCTGACCGTTTTTATAAATCAGAAGCTGAACTCGTAGTTTTGAATACATTTATTTGGGACACATCACAAAGCGAAGTGGAGAAGCAGCGAATAAAACTAGCGAAGCGACGTGAATTGGAGAAGGCTGATGAGCCAACTGCCAGGATTACAATGCGAATGAATAGGCGAAGCGCGTCGGAGAAGGCTAATGAGTCAATTCCCAGAGATAGAGCATGACTAAGAATGTATAGTCAGACAAAAATAAGACAGACATGTGATCAACGAGATAAGCATGCACACACATGAATAAAAGCGACGAATAGTGACAAGGTCAAATGACAAGTGGGACACGTCATGTGAGCTCATACAAACCGGACAATAATAAGAACGAATAGGTACAATACAAATTGCTTGGTTAAATAGATTAATCGAAAGCGCTTAACCAAATCAAAGTGTAAGCGAACTGGAACATCTTTGGAGACACTACACTTTGACTGGTGGTGGTCTAACATTTCAAAATATATAAATGAAATATTTTTCATCGATTTTCAATTAACTTTCATGTGTAGGTCGTGAAAAACGTATGACAGCTGGTGGCGCACAATCCATTGCGGCAGATAGTCGAAATGGTACACTTCGAAATGGAACAATGACATCAGTCGATACAGACTATACAGATCATGATCCTATATTAAATGCGAAACTAGATCGAATCGATGCTGAAATTGAAACATTGAAACGATTAGGTGAAAGTTCTGGGATTACAGCGGTGAGTATCGTTTCTTTTTTAGAAATTTAAATCATGTCTCAATTATATGTATTGACCATAAAACTGAACATGTATTGTTGGTGTACTAATATGCATTACGGGGTTGGGAAGATTGTTAAGTTACACATTTTTGAAACCATGAATCGATCAATGTTATGAGACCACCATTAGAAACCTGGAAGCAATGAAAGACAGCCGTTTCCTCCTGGTACGGGATTCATCAGCAGTGTGCATCCACGACTCCTGCACCTCACAGGATCCGAACCCAGGATCTTCGATATTGTGCGCGAACGCCTAACCATCGGACCAAAGAAAGGAGATCTCAGCAAATGTGAGAATTATAGAAGCATCACTTTGCGTTCAATACCAGGCAAAGTTTTCAACATGGTATTGTTAAACAGAATAAACAACTTCGTAGACGCACAACTTCGAGATCAACAGGCTGGATTTCGTAAGGATCGACTGCATACCTACCAAATTGCGGCACTACGGATCATTGCGAAGCAATCAATTGAATGGACTTCACCACTCTATATCAACTTCATTGACTACAAGAAAGCATTCGACAGCGTGGGAACAACAACAATATGGAGGCTTGTTGGACACTACGGCATGCATGAGAAGATAGTCAAAATAATGCGGAATTCTTATGATGGATTAAACTACAAAATCGTGCATGAACCACAGCTGACGGACTCATTCGAGGTGAAGACCGGTGTCAGGCAAGGTTGCCTACCCTCACCCTTTCTCTTTCTCTTAGTGATTGACTGGATTATGAAGATGTCAACATCTGACGGGAAGCACGGTATCCGATAGACAGATAGGACGCAGCTGGATGATCTAGACTTCACAGCTGATCTGACTGTTCTATCACACACTTAAAAACAAATACAAGAGAAGGCGACTAGGTCTATGCTCCATTGGGAGTAGCAGGTGAAAGTGAGTGCGTAATCAATCCTCACAGAATACTCATATGCCTAAGGGTACTGATCAACAATAATCGTAGTCTTATAAACACAGATAGGATGTTAATTCAAATAACCATCAAGAACGAATAAATATTGTGGAATGAAGTGAATTCATTTCATTTCATTTCATGTACCCTAAATCCATCCACATACCAGCTAATTTTGTACAAATATCTCTCTTTTTAATACTAAGTGTATTTTTGTGATGTAGAAAAAATATTTTGTTTCTGGTTAACTGTACAAATTAGTGCATATTTAGGTGAAATGCATTTACTACAATTCACTATGTTAATTGATAAAAGTTTATCGAGGTGATGGGGGGTGGGGAGGATGGAACTCATTGTTTTAATAAAATACATGTTGATTGTTATCAACATTTGTCCTGTTTAGTTAAAATCATAAGACCAGATGGAATTTTATTGGAAAATAACAACAGTTGTATGAAATATTTTTATGGGTTATTTCGTTACTGAGGCTTTTAGTTGAATTAAATCTAACCCCATTTATGAAATGCGAATATGAAGTACGAAAACTTTTAGTAAATCTATTTATCTGTAAAAAAAATAGTACAGAATTCAATTCAATTCTAAGTAGAGCGTTCCAATTTAGTGGCCGGAGATTTGACTCTAGTTGGACAACGTAGAACGTCGTATGTACGGACATCAGTTCAAGTTGTGATACAAAGAAGTTCTAGCTAAGGAAACTTGTTATCGTATTTGATATAATCTCTAGACATTAAAAGCTCCAAGATGTAGTTTAGAATGGGGTTTCAGGAGATCAAGAGTAACGTTTCATGTACTCGAATCGTTTGCATCAGTGGCGCGAGATGATAAAAAAATGTGAAAAGGATTGGTCGTGGAGATAATACAGTTATCAAGGGGTGTAGGTAGGATTTGATTGTGACCAGCTTGGTCTCGTCTGCTGTTAAAGGTATGATATCACTTCCCGTCTGCCCACACCATGGAAGGGATCTAGTTGTCAGAAGGGTCTCAGGACTCGTAACTTCCGAAGGAATTAGGCTTTCATCATGAGACGCCATTACTCTTCTAAATGAAGACCTTCGAACTCTCAGGGCAGAGTTTAAACTGTTTGAATTGTTTTTTCTAGTTAGCGTTTTTCCGAGGGGGAAATGTAAGCTAAAAGTTAACTGGCGCGAAAGCATACCTACCTACATATGCCTGTCGCCGCCGACCAGTGTACTCCAGCCTACTCTGTCCTAGGCTTCCCTTTCCAATTCTGTCCAATTTTTGTTCATTCTTCTCATATCTTTCTCTAGTTGAGAAAACATGGAAATTCAAAATTTTCAGAATAAAATGACAAAATTTAGAATCTTTCCAATTGAGATCTGGAGATCGAATGTCCCTAACCTACACACACATGGTGGAGAAGATTTGTAGCTCAGGTGGATGATTGGGGTGGTGGTGGTGTTTGGTTCTCTGAGCTGAATGTTTTGGTTGTGGAGCTTCTGAAATTTTGCGCTGATGATCTTGTTCAGTAGAAAAACAATGAAAGCTCCACAACCAAAACATCCAGCTCAGAGAATCAAACAACACCACCACAGTACACACACATTCATATTACACATTTTGAATGAAGTAATTTTTAATGGAAAATTGATACAATTTGCGTATTTTGTAATGATCTGTTTTGCTTTTGTTTTCAAAAAAGGCTCTTATTCAAGAATTGGAAGCTAGTAAATCACATGTTCATGAAACTGATTTAGATCCAATCTCTGCATCACGATCACCAAATGCCAATATTGAACCTAGTTATAAAACACGTTATAGACGACATGGATATACATGTAAGTTTCTACTTTCTTACATGATGGATGGATGATACAATAATCTGATTTAATTGTTTTGTTTAAAACTACTACTGTTTATTTGATGAGTTTCTCATATTTCGTAGTGTTGGAGTAGGTTGAAAGAAGGCTAGGGGCGGCCAAACTAAAACATGGCACAAATCTCTGAAGTCACTGACAAGTGGACTGAGTCATGTTGGTTGATGTAGTAGGCTACCTGGTCGGGGTCCGCGAGATGATAATAATCGATGGTTAGAGACCTTGAACGATACGGCTCAGAATCGTTTACAATGGCGCAGATGCATCCAGTCTTTGTGTTCTATGAAATTCTAAGCTTCTGCATTCCTCATAATCTTTACTTTTCTCTTTCTAAATTTATCTCACTGAATTATACTTCTCAAATCATATCTTCTGTCCCTAATCTTCTCCATTACTGCTAATACTTCCACTATCTTTGCCACCATAAGATTTGAACAGAAAGTTGCGTCTCTGAGCCAGTGTCGTATAGTAACATAGACTTATATACTTGCGTACGAAGTTCTACGTTGTAACTAACTGACTTCTCATGTTGAATAGTCGATTTCCTTCATTCTGATGATTCGTAATTAATTAATTAACAAACAATTAATCACCCGATTTAGTTTGTTAATACTAGGATTTCGAAATCATCATTAAAAGCCTAAAAAACATTGGAAGGCCATTTCTTCCTATTATGGGACAGATCAACAGTGCGGATCTACGAGCCCTGTTCGCGTGAATCAAATTTAGGACATTCGGTCCAGCGGAACTTCATTCCATTGCCTTCGGTGGGCACTGTTTCGATGGGGTTGAACCTCTATTGTACATAACTTCTCACTAGAACTTGGAGAAATTTCCTCATGAGGCTGGTCACCAGTGAGCACATGACAATTTTTATGATAGGGTTATGAAGATTGTTGATCGATTGACTGACTCGTCATTTTAACTCTACAACCCTATAATGAGAATACTATCATTGTTACTGTTTTGAATAGTAGTTATCTATTCAAATAAGCCTGCTTAGTTTACTATTTTACTCGTAACATAATTGAAAATAAGTGGTACTTAATTTCCTCGATGATTAGATTCTATGATTGCTGTTGTTGTGTTTCTGAATTCCATACAAATATCCTATTTTCATAATGGCCCTGTTTAGCTTTCACTAAGCAGAACGCAAAGAACTACTGCACAATGGACTTATCCTTTGGTTAGTAGATGGAGTGCTGAAACTTCATCAGTTGAGGTGGTGCTGCGTATGCCTAACCACAGATTGCCTCGACGAGCTTTGTGTTGTAGTGTAGGAATTGGTTGGAAGAAAGCTATGGGCGGCCAGACCAAAACATGGCAGAAATCCATGAAGTCATTGACGAGTGGACTTAGCCATGTCGGTAATTGTCGACTACCTGGTTGGGGTCAACGAGATGATAATAATCGATGGTTAGAGACCTTAAATGACATGGCTCAGAATCGTTTGCAATGGCGCAGGTGCATCCACTCTTTGTGTTCTATGAAATTCTAAGCTTCTGAATTCCTCATAATCTCTATCTTTCTCCTTCTAAATTTATCTTATTGAATTATACTTTTCGAATCATAATATCTTTTCTCCCTAATCTTCTTCATTACGGCTAATACTTTCATTATTTCTATCACTCTTGGATTTGAAGTGACAATTGCGTCTCTGTTCTAATGTGGTATGGCAACCTGAACTGATGTACTCTCATGTACGAAGTTCTACGTTGTATCTGTCTATCTGTCTATCTGTATAAACTGAAATAGACTTAACACTTACATTTGTATGTCGTCTGTTTGTGTTTAATCGTCGAATCAATTTACTTTACCGAGAGAGAGAGAGAGAGAGAGAGAGATTTTGTGTATTGAAAAGAGTAAAACATTATTTCTTACAAATGAAATAGTGTAGTTACATCAGAATTTCATTTCATGTTAGACAATCAATGATGACCTAAATGTTCTTTATTTTTTTCTACGAAACAAAAAAATAAATTAAACCGGAAGGTTTAATTTATTTAAACAATTAGTCCCTTTTTAATAAATTTTGATAGAACACAGTGAGAAGACGTAATTGATCTGAAAATAAGTGTGATGTATTTGCGCGCTATGCATACATAGTTCGAACAATCTGGTCACACACATGTATACACTTGTCAAGGCATTTTGATATGAAGATGAATAAAAGGTTAATTAAATAAAAGTTCAAATAAACGTAAGGTGATGATAATTGTAAATAAAGGAGAGAGAAAAACTCACCGTCATATGAAAAGAGTAAGAAGGGGTAGCAAAATTGTCACATTACCCCTTAGGCTTAAAGATTATCAAGGTAAATTCAAGGTTATGACAAATGGTTTCTGCACACATAAGGCCGGTGGTTTTAATTTTCTAACAGCCAAGGCCTTCATAAACCTCAAAATTCGTGTCCTTCAACATTTCTATACAATGTTTTGAAACCTGTCTTCATGTCAATCTTATGCGCCCTGTCTCAATTATGTGTTTTGCGATCGATGAACGTGGTTTTCTATTTCCAATGATTTTGAAGCCACTTAGGGGTACATGTTCCTTTTGTTCATCTTCATATCAAAATGCCTTGACAAGTGTATATGAGTGTGTGACCAGATTGTTCGAACTATGTATGAGGCACAAATACATCACACTTATTTTCAGATCAATTACGTCTTCTCACTGTGTTCTATCAAAAGTTAATTTATTAGTTAGTTAGTTAGTTATCAAGTGATTTATCGAGTAGCCGTTTTTACAATTAATCGGATGTATAAATAAGGTAATCACAGAAGTAGGTTTCATTCTGTTTTTTTTTTGTTGAGACTGGTGACTTGAATGAAATTTTTTATTCCATCAAACTAATGTTTACATGATTAAGTTTTGTCTTTAAATATGAACGGAGTATTTCTATGAACTAGTAAGTTCACATATAGTTGAATGAATGAATTGTATGTTTGTAAAGGTTGGTAGTTTCTTGTCGGATAAAATATACCTTTTGGATTCCACTGCTCTTTTACTTTTTACTTACTTAAGCCTGTTGCTCTCAATGGAGCATAGGCCGCCCACCAGTTTTCTCCAATCAACTCTGTCCTGGGCGTAATGTGTTGTTGGCCTTCATCTTTTCCCTTGACCTTGAGGGTTCCAAGTGAGGGCTTGTCTTGCGACGCAGTTAGGTGCTTTTCACAGTGCGTGTTCTATCGACTTCCAACGCTTTTGACTGATTTCCTCCTCCACTGGAATGTGGTTTGTTCTCTCCCACTGTACGTTGTTGCTGATCTTGTCCTTCCAACGAATCGTAAGTATTTTGCGACGACAACTGTTCATAAATACTTGTATCTTCTGGATGATGACTTTGGTAGTTCTCCAGGTTTCCGCTCCATACAGTAGAAGTGTCTTGACATTTGTATTAAAAATCCTGATTTTGGTGTTCCAGATATTCTTCAACTGTAAAAATGCAACCCTTGCTTTGCCGATCCGCGCCCTCACACCTACAAATCTAC